ACATACAGGAGGGGATACCGAGCTCTTGGATATGCTCTATAGTAGGGCGGCTACAATGCTCGATGATAGTAGTACTAGATTAACAGAGTGAGGGCATTCAAAAGATGAGTATTAGGAGTATATGGTGTATTCAGTAATCGAGAGAAGCTATCATCAAGATGTTTGGATGTAGTATGCGCAATATCAAGTATGGTACCCAATATATCTAAAGAAGGTAGAAAGGTAGCATTAAATGCTGCTAGGATAGTGTTCGAGGATCCTAATGTAATATTCCTATACTATTGACGATCATTAGTAGTCCTCACCACCACACTCAGAGTGATCTTGATACGTTATGGAGTCTTCGGAAGGCTAGTGCACGTCTTGGTTTCTCGGATGTCATCAATAATATTGATAAAGTAATAATTGATATCAACTTGATGATACCCATATCATCATCATCATCATGCAGGCCTTCTACAGTCGTATAGGGTATATGGCAAGAATCGATAATAGTATTGATGAAGGTGTGGTATTAATGAGTGGTAATGAGGCAATGCTTAGGATATCATCATCGATACCAGCTGCAGTTGAATGGGTATGTAGGTATAGTAGTGTCCATGATGATGTTGATAGTAGTAGTAGGCATCACAATCACGAGAGGGTCTAGATGGCTTACCAATGGCAATTAAGGGTATTATACAGGATGGAGTTAGATCGACATTGAAAGCTAATGAAGTTGCTAGGATCATCAACACTGTAATATAATCATCATCAATGCCGGTAATCATCCTACAGTGCCTCCTATGTGCAAGTCGTGATGGGGGGTCTATTGATACAGTAATATCATTATTGAGGCCAGCTGTGGAGAAGATGATGAGTATTAAGGCAAAGTAGTAGTGAGGTCGTCGTGGATGTTGATACTATTATCATCATCATCAGGTTGGGTCGTGATGATATATACTGTATAATGTTGGCTTTGTTAAAGACCCGACATAGTTCTATGGAATATAGGAATACAGTATTGGATGCATTTCTAGATAAGGTAATAGTATACGATAATATACGATGAATGGCTCATTATGTAGAGCATTGATATGCTTAATATATTCAAGCCATATCAGCTTGCAGTCGTTATAAGGGTATTATTGCAGAAGGTTGTTGTTCATGACGAGAACGGAGGACGACGAGATGATGAAGCTATCATGAAAGCTATTATTGATATATTAGGTCAGCATCATATTCATGTTATTAACCATCATCATCTAACAGTTACTAGAGGTAGAGAGTTTGATATAGATTCGATTACCGATATAATAAAGGATACATATACATATGATGGTAATGATGCTTATGATTATTGGTTGTTGGATAGGATTCATTAGGTAAGGATCGTCTATCAGCAGTCCAACGTAAGGCTATGACAGATGTATTGAAGACTATATTTAGTATATCGGATGGTTATGAGAGAGCAGCAGAGATAGAGTTGATAGAGGCATCATTAGATGCATTGGGTGATAATAAGAAGGCTAATACTGCATTACACCTACTATGTAATAGGATCACTACTACTAGTCACCTTATGACTGCTCTCAAGGTATACTAGCTGATCACGGACTAGCATCATCATCATCTAGGATGTCACAGAAGAGTGGTATGGATGCAACAGCAGAGGAGATACCACTAGCATCTATACTCCGACAATACATAAAGCATAACCCTCCGGTACACCTTAAGAGTACTGATATAGCACGTAATAGTAGCATTAAGGGTATTTTCACTGAGGTGTGGTATCAGGTGCTTGCCGATATACTGATGTATTACAGGATTCATTTGATGTCCTCGAGGTACTTGATGACTTTGTCTCGAAGGCTAATAACATATTATTGATGACTACCGAGCAATGTACTACTATCATTATGAAGTGTAGGAAGGATGGTATTATTATAATAACATTCTTAGATGTACAGCTATTAGCTGCCTCTATCATTATGGAAAGTAAGAGGCAGCCCCTCTATACTAACAGCAATAATAGTGCAACTACCAAACTAGCTACTATACTGTTCGATCAATATAGCCTTTACGGTAATAGTAGTAGTGATAGTAGTGATGATAACAGTTGTTAGGTACACGTAACGATCTACGACCAGATGATATAATAACAATTATAGAGGCATCATTACGGAACAATAATGAAGTGTCTAGGAAGTGGACATTCCAAGACCCTATCCTGGCTGAGGCTATTAGAGTAATATTATTAGTATTAATACCACGACGTCGTCTAAATGATGGTTATAGTAGGTATTGGTACCTGTTATACATGATGCCGACTCTAAGGTCCTTATTCAATTTATAACAACATTATCACACAATAAGGATGTCCTACCAAACCTAAGCCAACTGAATAGGTAGTACTAGTAGTATTATCATTGTTGATAGTATCATCGTTGTTATTGTAATAGATATTCCCCTATAGCACAGTTATCATCGTCAATACTATCAACATTATCAACAACATCACCAACACTTAGTGTTAGGGATATGACTCAAGCCTTAAAGGCAATGGCCAGACTAGATTGGTAACCACTCCTCCTACTCTGAGTAGTAGTGATAAGGATATAGGTACTCAACACGATGTATAACAGCTATCACTAATACCCTTATTAATGCTAGACTTACCTCAACTAGTATGGATCATATTGGCGATCTTGTATGGACTACTACTATTATTATTATCCTTATTATCCCTATATAGGCGCAGTCACTGAGAGTAATGCGTGTACATGATACCCCTCTATTGAGAAAGCTAGTAACATGGTATAAGTGGATGTTGAAGGCATCATATGGTCCTCCACCGTAATGATAGTAGCAGCAGTAGACTGCCTTACTGAGAGTACTAATAGATACCCTCCTGAGGTGCGAGCTCATCTAGCATCATTTGCCATGCCTATAGCTGATCTCGGATATACTTCAACCCACTTTATCGATATCATTGAGGCAGCCTTGATAGAGCAACAACATGATGATGATGGTCATACTGCAAACCCTAAGTGGGCAACATCATCATCATCATCATACTCCCACATCATGTTCATCATCATCATGCCTTAGATTACTCATATCATTCCTATACATACTATCACGACAAGGGCAAGAGGTATTCAGTCGTCCATCATACATTGCTGGAGTTAGAAGGTTGGTATCAACACCTGAGGAGGAGTTACAAGGCCTATCAGCTGCTGATTGGATTAAAGCCTTTCAAGTAATCATATACCTCATCATAGGGGTAGTAGTAGTAAGTGTGGTAGTAGGTCCATCTTGGGCCGGCTATTGAGGGCCTACCTTATATCAAGAAGGAGTTGGTATATGATGCTGGTGTTAAGAAGTTTATAGAGGATAATGCATCATTTAGTTGGTAGTAGTAGTAGGAAGAAGAGTGGTATTATTATAATAATAAGTTTTTTATGATAGGTATTCAGCCCAGGAGAGGAGTAGGACCCAGTTCCTCCACTCTGATATGTATCAAGCCTTACGGCATACTATAGAAGAGGATCTACAATGGCCTTTCTATACTGCTAATCAACTAGGGGAGGTTATTACCATCACGACCATCTAGTCGTAGTTACATCACTATCACTACTATCAGGTATATCATACAGAGTTTATTAGTGATAGGAATATGGAAGGAGGATCTAATGATAGACGTAATAATAGCTATGTATAGTATTATTACTAGATATTACTATCAGGTACGGCTATTGTATGTATACCACCAATGGATGAACTACGTTATTATAGAGCTACTATGGGAGGGAATATAGCATCTGAGCAGCAGCAAGGTATGATGATGATGATGGTATCGTAGTAGTAGTGTGTGAGGGTATTAGGTGATGGGCTAGGGTCATATAAGTCTACTAGAGTCATGATAGGCTCGTCCTTATTAAAGGTTAGACATTTAATGACACTAGGGTGGAAGGTAATAATGATGGTATGGTAATAATGATAGTACTAATAGGTGGTACCAATATGGATATCAGAATGGTCATCATTGCAGTCAACTAAGGATAGGGTTGATTATCTGATACAACAATCAATAAGAGCTTATGCTCTAGGGCCAGCACCAGATATAACATACAATGATAATGAGTATGCAAACCCACCATGATTATGTTTCTGATAAGACCCCTTCACGTTTCTATCATAATCCTCATTGTTGTTGTTGTCTGTGTGTCCTGTTGTATAAGCAGTTAAGCCATGGTATGCCCATTAAAGCGTAGGGAGCCGTCTATAAGGCAGCAGGAACAGGAACAGGAGGAGGATGGACCATGCATGATGGAGAGGAAGAGGAGGAGGACTACTGCTAGTGCTGCTACTACTACTGCTATTATTATGAAGGCTGATGATAGCAGTACTAGTGATAGTACATGTGATGATACTTCAACAAGTAGTGATAGTAGTGGGTATATGATAGAGCAGTACTCTAATCATCATCATAATCAACCACTTCTACCCACTACTACTAGTTTGTCTCAACAGCCTCTTAGGAGGTCTTCAGTTATTATACCATTCATAGAGGATGATAGTGAGAAGAAGGGTATGGTAGTAGTAGTAGGGACGGATGCTAATACCCAGCAGCTTATACCATCACCACTACAACAACAACATGATGTTGATGATGATGAGGTATCTCACTATGGTGATGATGATACTGAGTATAGGCATACTAGGGTACACGATGATGAGGTCATTGATGAACAGACAGGTATACTAAATGGGACAGCATACTACTATATTAATACCTCTTTTAGTTCGATATATGGATGATGCTAGGGGGCTAGGGAGCTTTGAACATGATGACGATGGTTATTATCATGATGATGATGATGAACATAATATCCCACTTGTAGTCAACCTACATCTAGTTGCCCATCCTCACCAAAGATATGAAGTAGTAGTATTACTATTGCTAGACCCCAGCATCATCATCTCTTCTAGTAGGTAAGGGTATCCCCAAATGGTGATGTAGAGTATACGGTACTGCCTAGACCCTTGATGAGTGAGCTAAAGGAGATCATGTGAGCATATTCATAATAATAACTATCATCATCATCATCATCATCATCACTATCTTAGGTCAACAGCTATTAATAAGATGAGATCGATGCTCACTAGCAGTACCGATTCCCCATCCTCTCGTGCTGCTGCTGCTGATGATGCTGATGAAGGGGTCGACTCTCTAGATGCTCTACCTGTGAGTGTACTATCACTATCGTTGTTTATGCTGTTGGTGGTGGTATCATCAGGTTGGTATGCCTATCAAGTTGGATGATGCTACTACACTATGTCATAACATGCTACTCCCTGCTACTGCTGCTGATGCACTATCCCCTTCTCCTCCTCCTCTGGCATTGCCCATGTTAGAGGAGGGGTCTATAACAGATGCTGCTGCTCCTTGATAATGATCATCATCATCATACCATCCATCTCCCACATCATGTGAATGTAGCCTTATATGTATCTCATATCATAGATTTGTGTTAACACTCTTGTTATCGATCACATGTTGGCAGTTTTTATTATATGTTATCTACTGCATATCGAGATGAAGGTGATATCTTATTACTGCTGGTCTCCTTGATAGTCTATTATTAGATGTTGAAGTAAGGGATAGTGTATTCACAAGGATTATCCGTTATATTATAACACCATCAATAGAGGAGAGGACGAGGATAAGATGCTTGTAATGCTCATGCTAATGCTGCTGTTCTCCTTGTTGAGGCAACTATACATTAGATATCGTAATACAGCTAACAGTTATGGTGAGGAGCAGCAGCAGGCTCTTATGATGACGTCATTGCAGGGAGAAGTAGAGAATAGCATGCCCATAATCAACACCACTATAATGGATACATCCAACTACAAGCCTCGATATCTATACCGTTATTTGAATGTAATAGTAGTAATGATGATGATAATAGAAATAGTAGTTGTATGATGATGGTGTAGGTATTGAGATGGTTATTACTGCTTGTGGCTGGATATGCATATAATAGATTCTTTATCGAGGTATATCACATTCCACATGATAGTGACAAGTCAGTATCATACTCTCATCCTTATTATTACCTCATTATCAGGTATACCTATCTTGGTCATAGCATCAATCTAGCCAATCTTGCTATGTTTGGCATAGTACTATGGTTTATTGATAGTAGTAGTAGAGTGAGTGTATTGATAGATACAAGCATGGTTTGTAGAGGTTATTGATGATCCTAAAAGATCTAAATGGATATTCTCACTACGTCGGTGGTGGTTCTTTATAACGTAACTTACTACTCCCATTACTACTACTGATACTATGGTGCAGGTTCTTTGCTGCATCTACTGTATTCACTCTCTTAGGGATGTTGGATGTCCTTAGTCATAGTTCGATATCCCCATCAGGTCATCTAGACAATTGGAATGCATTCAGCATAGTATGATGATGATCATGTTCTTATTCCTATACTCAGTGTATTGCATCATCATCATGTAGGTCCTTACGTTCTTGGCATCGTTCCTAGCATTACTCATCATATGGCATGTTGTATACTCGATAAAGGTCTTACCGACCTATGCTGATGCTGCTGTTTATATAATATCTAGAGTTGGAGTGGTACTGTTCTTGTTGTTATTATTATCATATTGACGACCATATCAGGTCTGTATCTTCGGCATTACATTCCTCCTCATACACTATGATGATAAATACAATAAGCATGATGATGTAGTAGTGATGATGGCTTATGAAGTGTGGTCAATGGCTTGATTATTCAGAACCCTGTAACGTTCCATCTGCATCACTACTTCATAGCATGGTTATTATCCCTCATCGCAGCATTCGATCATCCAATATCACTTCTGATGCTATCGATAACCTCTGGGATATTCGTAGGGCGGCAAGATGATATAATGTCAAGTCCATCGTGTGTTAGGTACAAGGAATAGCCGCGTATTCGGCCGCTGGAATATTCTTCCGACCACGCAGTGATGGCGGTGGCATTGTTAACATTCTCTCGGGATGATTATAATTGTTTTGATATCTCTCTCTTCTTATCAGTAATTCACCTCGGGTAGTGTTAATGGAGTTACTACATCTAATGCGATGCGAAGATGAACACTAAGCTCCTAGATAGGCTGCAACCATCGATATGACTACGCCAGTGACGGCGCGTCATAATATTGGGAAAATGATTACTCCTCGAGAGCACACGCGAACAGGAACATAACAATAGATGTGCCCATATAAAGTGCATGTTCCTCTTATTGTACTACTTGAACTACGTCTCGAGACCGATGTATTCGAATTGATTTACTTGCACTCATTAGTTGATGAACGCCTTCCTGACTCGACTCACTTTCTGCATCATGTTGGTTTGGAAAGCACGAACAGTTAAACTCGGGTCAATAGTCAGCATAGAGTTGACTCTGAGGTTGCTTAGAAAGTTCCATAACCTCACTGCTACTCGTGAGGAGGCAAGCATCCACCGTTACAAGTTATGGAAACACAATGCTACGAACATCAGTCGAAAAGCGATACACACTTCACAACAGAGGCGACTACCACAGAGTGATAGAAGCGAAAGAAACACATATGGCTGAAAGAAGAATAGTAAAGGCAAGAGAAAACACATACGGCTAGGAAGAACAGAGAATACTTCACCTGAGTATTAGTATATTAAATCACCATTAAGCTTGAATATCACAAGAGCATGGGATATTAGTACCCGAGCATACTGATGGATTAGACCAGTATTTACAGTAGCTACCACTGTACTGGGAACAACAGAAGTTGTCACCATTCGCGCAGCTAAACGGAGTTGTTGAAGGTGCAGCTGAGGTACTCGTCATCGATCCACTTGTGGTAGTGGTTATAACCTCATCACATGAGCATTCGATATTGGAGCCAGAGCAGATCCGTGGAACTTCCCAGTATTTACAGTAGCTACCGGGTATGTATGAACCGCACTGCTCATCACCGATGATACAGTCTATCGGCTCACAAGCTGTAGTAGTAGCAGGAGTGGTTGTAGTAGCAGCAGGAGTGGTTGTAGTAGCAGCAGCAGTGGTTGTAGTGGGACAAGTAAAGGAAGCCGGGAAAGGCCATACGACGAACCTATCGGGATTCGCATTATAATCCCAGATTGTGGTACCCCAATTGAAACTGAATCGGAGGCATCCATCGTCAGCATTAACAAACTGGTCAATACCGTGACCGGTGCCGCAGCCTCCTGCAAGTAATGTGGCTTCTCCATCGGGGGTGTTGACACAATGAACATAAACAGCGGCATCACCATATCGATAGATGATACTGTCAGGGTAAACATCATACAACCAGTGAACGACATCGAAACCAAAACGTCCATTAATGGTGAAGTTGAACTTGAACACTCTCGTAGGACTTGAAGGCTCCCACTTCACAATACGATACTCCTCACCGGTGACAAGTTGAGAGATGTAGAGATAACCTTGCATAGATCTCACACTTTGGGGATGATACAAATGCATATCATCATCAATTGCCTTACCATCAGCATTACCAGCGACGAGTTTTTTCGACGAAGTTTCAACACCATCCGATATCGGATCCCATTCATAGACCTGATTGTTCTTGCTATCAACAGCGTACAAGTAAGGATGATCATCATCCTGATTCCAACTAACTGATGTCCAAGTATGTTCACCACTCGCAGGCTCCAAAACCTTGTACTCACCTAAACCAATATCACTGGTCTCGGGAGTGCCATAGAGTCTGATCTCGTTGTTAACAATAGCCCAAATATACATCGGGGCATAGCTATCGTGTTTGTAATCAGTAGATGCAGCAGCGATTGAGTCGGCCTTAGCATTGATCATCACCTCCCCCGTAGGAACACCATTGAGGGTAGTAGTAGTCCGGAATACCGAGTAATCACCAGTGCTCAGATTTTGAGCAGATATGAGGAAATCCCAGTAACCTTTCATCGTCATATCATAGTCGACCATCTTAATACCACCACTTGGTAGGAAATCACACGAGATGAGATCATCGTAACAGTCCTCTTCAACAAAGACATTATGGTCTTCCTCACACCATCCACTAGGGACTCCAGAGGCCATTATAGCGGCGACGGTACTCACAAGAATAGCGAATCCAAACATGAAGGAATAATAACAAGCAACTACCAATGACGATGAATGAAGTCGGAGGATACTACTAATAATAAACTACCACTACATGTTTGGGAATCTATTCATGTTCTACTGCCATTCTCTAGCGTAAGCTTACAGCTTCTAGGGCTATTGAGACAGGCTTATAGGAGACGATTCACACAAGGGAGTATCAGGAATATTTGGTAGCAGCAGAAGGGCGGATCGCAGAACCACTCAAGAAAAAGAAGACACGACCTGGCATGAGCACTCATACTGGGTGTTATCGTATATCCAAACGCTCCCCGAAATGAATGAGCTGTCATCAAGAGTCTGTTAAACATCTTCGATATCCGAGTGCCGAAAGACTTCATAAGATCTCATAGACAGCGGGGCACTGCCCCTCTCACAGCTCTGCTGCTGTACCGTAACCGTCTGGAGTAGAGTGATATCCTCTACCAGTGGGCATATACTGTGATGGTAGCGCCAGCACCAACTGTGTATGTAATTCTGCAGTTGGGAGTCAATCCAGGCAGTTGTTAAGGACGTCGCTGTATACGATCCATGACCGTATTCCCCCACAAGCCTACTGTGGCCATGTTGTACCAACCTTCTGTGCTCATCAACTCCTGAAGTGCTCCTGCGGGTCCATTATCCGAGCGAGAGCTGCGATAATCCATGTTATTGTCACCCCTGAATAAGCTAGGATTCTTAACCATCAGCCTGTGTCATCATTAGAGTATACACGCCAGCTCTACAAGAGAAGAAGTAGCGATTCCCCGATGAAGATTCAACAGCATCATTGCCTATCTCGGCTACGCCGCTGTCATCCACTCCTGTTCAGTGTCGGAAAGCTCATCCACATCTTCAAACCATCTTATTCTTAGAACCATAGTCGTCATACCTTTACAGAAGGTACGAGAAGGTAACAGAAGTCCTCTTACTCCGAGAATGGCCTTCCAACTCACGTCGATTGACTATGTATTTCGTGTCATACGAGTCGTGTGGCAGAGGTGGACCTCCGGAATGCATATATGAATATTTTCGGATTCGTATCGACAACCCCGGACGTATCGACGAGATGAATTGTGTGGAGGACGACCTCTTTGAGAGGTGTAGATGCTCGAAAGGCGTGGTATGGACCCCAATGGGGTCACCTCATCATATCTCCTACTACTACTGTAAGTACGTAGAATATCGAGTCATCAACTATACCATCCATCAAGGAACTCACGAATACACTCGGTTGCCTCCCTTGAAAATACGCCTTAAGAAGCAGCTCCTAAGTTATATGACCATTGACCCTATCGATGATGTTCAGGCCAGACTCTAGTCGAGCCGACAGGGTGTATCAGAAGTTAGGCGACATGCTAGCCCTGTAGGCTGTAAGCTCTCTCGACACTAGTGGCCTTCTATACACGACTCATCCACCACCGTGCTTGATCATCATCATGTTGGATCCATCTCCTCCATGGCTGTGTCGAGCAACTTGTGCAGCAGCCTTTGTGTTTTGGATCCATCCTATCGCGGCCCCTCCATGGTATCATAATACTCTCAGACCAACCTCTACACATGATGGATCTTCCATCAGCCATTGTGCATCCTACAACTTGTCTCACATTCCGGAAGGCAATATCATTACTATCGAAAGTTACGTTGGTCGGCTGCTTGGTGACGATACAGTTGTGGTTAATGTATGGGGATGTGCTCACAGCTTGGGATAGCAGTAGCCTTTTTATGCCGACGAAGATGAGTGATGCTTCGATAACTGGTGGTGATTTAACAGATAGTATGAGTGGTAGGCCCTCCCATATTGAATATATATCCCCTCCTATTCGGGACGATGGTATATGGTCTAGTATACAATGTGTTGGTTGGCATAGGAATCGGTCATGTGCTTTTGATAATATCTATTATGATAAGACTTCCGACGAATTTTATATCATATTACCATCAGATCCATCTAGGAGGGGTACTATCATGAGAGCGCCTTATAATGGCAGTGCCTTAGACTACAATAACAGCACTATCAACAGACAGTATTATGATGACACCGGTGTACCCGTCACGGAGGACTCGATCAGGGAGCTCACTAGAGGCTGCTCCCGTGGGCCAAAGGGTAGGAGTGAGTTCCGACCTAAAGTGGTGTTACTGGATGAAGCATCGACGTCATCTCTCAAGGATTGGGAGGCAAGTCTATCTAAAGATGATGTATCCATTGTAGATGGCGTTAGTGCTCATTTTAGTACTCTTTGGTGTTTCAATGTTGGTCATTTTATGTATGATAATGTTTATCCACTATGGGTCACTATACTCCGCTTTGGGTACCTCAAGGAGCCTGTCAATATACTTGCTTATGAGAGTGTTAATGCTACTGAGGACGATGTTAAGGATTGGCAGCATTGGGGTCTCCTCAAGGCTTTATCGCATACTAATAGGAGTGGTCTAACTACGACTCAACTTGATACTCCATTGAATAGATTCCAACGACTATTAGTGGGTTCAAGATGGATGGGGCATCGCGATCAACAGAGGCATATGGGCATGCCAGGGTCCTATTCATATGAGAATGCTTTCTATTGGTATGGTCAGAGGATATTAGCTGGTTATGGTATATTGGATTGGAATACCGCATTGGATATGAATACTCCTATTGTGGTAGATGATGTTAATAAGAGGTGTAAAGGGGTTATTACCGATAATAAAAGGTTCTCAGATAATGAGAGGACAATGCTCAAGACATTGGCTGATGAATCAGAACAACTCTTTGGTTGTAATATAACCTTCCTTAGTTGGAAAGACTACACTTTTGAGGACCAAATTAGATTATTCGCTGATACCAACATCTACATCAGTGGTGTTGGTACTGGTCTTACTAGATGTCATCTTATCAAACCTGGTGGGGTTATCGTACAGCTTGGTGAACTGGACCGCATTGGCAAGCCTGAGAGGTATCAGGTCTCGTATAGAGATGTCCATATGGCTATTGGTTCTCCCCATCTCAATTCTGTCTATTACTCTCGTAGACTGTGGAATACCTTTGGTAGACTAGTACGTGAGGGTGTGGTTGATGCTATCAATAGAGGCATCAGTTTGGCCCGGAGTGGGTATCCCATACCAAGACCATATAATGATGGACTATCACCAACATCACAGAGCTATGAAGACTACTGTGCTGCTAGCCCTGATGACTGTAGAGCTCTTACTGATATCCGTAATGGTATATCCCCTATAGATGGTAAATGGTCGAGTAGTGGTATGTGTGAATACTGTTCTTGGGTGGACTTCTTTGGTAGAGGGCCGTTGTGGACTGGTTTAGGCTGCATGGACAAGGATCAACTCGTGCACTGTCCATTGAATCGTGCAAGATGGGAAACATTAGCGTCCCCTGATGAGGGCATTGCATTCGAGCCGGAATGCTACGATAAAGCCAAGGATCACATGATGGAGGTATATAACACCACAGTCCACCACACTGTAGAGGTTGAGAGGAACCGTCGTCTTAGGATCACATCTAGACTACCTTTCCTGTCTATTTTTGATACAGCATTAGAGCGCAATAATGAAATCCTTAATGAATTGTTAGATATCCCCCTACCTGACTGTCCCTTTGTGCCACCCACTGAGCCCCACGAGTGTGCTTGTTGACGACGTCTTCTATGATGATATCAGCTTCCTATATCCTTCTTGTTATTGCTGTACTGTCCAATCCTTGCTTTCTGGTCAATACTGTTGCGTTCATCTCAATACACTTCTCACCACCGTCACCTGTCGTCCTCCGCCGCAGTCCAATGAGTATACCGCGGACTTGGCAGAGTTCCAACTAACAAGCCAATTTCCTCTTTGGAGTACTGTTCCATCATGATCAGTTGAAAAGGATATGCAGGAGCACCTCGACACATTATCTCGACAATGAGAAGGCTGGGCTGATGATCTCACAGTAATGAAAGCATGCTCGTTATAGCCTGCGAGAAGGATCCCGAATGACATGAGGACTTGCCACCCTTGCATTCCGTTATCCTTATTGCCTCGTCACTAGATAGTCGTTGCTATTCATCACTTGTCGTGATATACTTTTTGTCGGATCCCTCCGCAGCGTCCTCCTCCAATACAGTGCCATACAGGGCCATCAGCCATGTCTAGAGTATGTTGAAGCTTCTGTCAGTGGGTATGATTATAATGGCAACTATTTTAACCTCTACATAGGCTATCATATTCGAGAGCACAGTTGACTAACGATGAAGTGCTACTTGCTTAGTGATGTTCTCTAGCTGCCCATTCATACCCATTCACTGAGCCCCCTTCATGCGATATTGTTGATGGTATATCCCTATTTCTATGATTTGGTATTTCTTATTATTATTGAATTATTTGATGTGTTGTTTTCTATAACTCATATATTCTTTGTGGTTTCGTGAGTATCATGTGAGTATCATGTCATTGTGTTCCACATATAATAGAGTTACATATCGCAATCATATACCCTCAGTTTATATGGATGATGTCAGAGCACATGACGAATCAAAGTTCATTTTGAGCACCCACCAATTGATATAAGTACGAGATGCCGCATGTCAGGAAATTATGTGGATGAACTAGTACCATGTCGGTAATCACATCCCTGCAAGCTGTTACTTCAACTCAACGATGAATGAATTTGTTGATAAACTAGCTGTAATGATAATACAGTCTTAATATCACACGATGCCTTCGAACACTATGATCGCAGAACTTAATGGTGGTAACTCGTTACAGCAGCCTGACAGTAATATTTCTCACTCACTATGGAACGACATATGTTCCAATAGTCATAGCAGCCGTAGTAGATTAGGAGATAATAATAAGAACAACAAATAACTCGAATGATTATATTGAGACTACATCGCGGTACATAACCAGCAGTAGCATCACTATTACCACGGTAGACTACTGATCATGATAACAGAAACGATATGTCATCTAATTGTACATTTAGAACAACTTGAACTATGCCGTCATCAGAACGTGCTTCTCAGGATAACCCCTAAAACGGTAGTACAGGAGACAAATACAAATCATGACGAATGGTGAAGCAGCAGAGATGTCTACTGTACCACACTAACCAGAGGTTTCTGGGGAATCCTGTCGATAACCACTCGACTAGGGACCTTCTCAATCAATAACCCAAGTTTAGCCAGTAGATCGTTGATGTCAAAGGTGTTAGACAGGAAGATCTCGTTCAAGTTCTCGGCGACATCTCTGAAGACTCCTATGGCTATGATAGGGATAGCTACACTTAGGGCCATCACGAGACCAGTAGTTACACTGGTAAGGAAGACAGCGATACTCAAGACGAAGAACATCATTGATTTACTTATTCAATAACACTGAAAGGATACTCAATATAACTCAAACACTGTAGTAAGTAATGATCCAGGTAGCGAGCAATGGTTAAGCTAGCGAATATATAGCATTGCTTATGAAGCCACTGTGTTGCCAGTGTCCCCACTTTGTGGTGGAGAAAGCATCTGCGAATGTATGGATGAATGTGGCCATCTTGGCAATAGACCATGAAGTCGGTATGCAAAACAGTGTAATTACCACGCTTCTCCCAAACACCATCCTGCATAGTGAATATGCTGATACTACAATATAGTGTAATATCTGTATAATGATACTAAAAGCTATTATTTAACCGGGGTGGAAGTTAGGCATTACTAGCAGTTACTAGAGTTGTTACTGTGACATTAAATATCCCACTCCCGATCGCGTGGGTTCTGTAGGAACCGACCCTAGAAGTACCGATGAGAGAAATACACTCAGGTACACAGAGTCTGAGCAACACTCAGTGAGTGTGTCGATAGTGCGTGCGTCACGCACTGTGCGTGTCTGCACCCTCTTCGGTACCTGCTCCCTGTAGTGCTGGGATTGGGATAAAATGTATAGGCCCTCTCTGCCCTCGGCTACTCTGCGCTGTTCAGCAGCCACGGGGGGTCCACTCGCCCCACGGTTTCATTACCGCATTACGAGTTGCTAGCGAAGCGACGCGACCATCCGCATCGGTATTTAACTTAGGTTAACAAGTCAACCTTGATTTACAGCCTCCTAGACACAGCCGAGGATGTTCTCTACAACAACACGTGTTCTACAGCTGTTCTACATTACGGAAAAATAACGATGGCAGGGTTCGAACCTGGCTTCCATACAAGTCATCGCTACCGACTTCTCTCATGACATCATGACAATGAGGTTAGCTAAGAGGGAAGACTCGTCTTACTCGTGAGAGAGTTCGCAATGTAAGCTTTGCATGAATCGAGCAGTTACCGGTGAGAGGTGTCGATAACACATACTTCAACATTCACATTGAATGCCATGACGTTGGTATTGACGCCCTTGAAGGTTAGCTTACTCCCAATGGATATAGACACATAAGAATCATTATTGATCATCAATAAATAATCTTCGCGAGTCCTATTTCTCTGCTAGTCCTTCCGACCCTCTTTCTCTATTATTTTTTATAACAGCACCAAAACGTCGTGCAGTAATATTTGGAGTCCACTGATCCACTGGTTCAAGGGAGTGTCATCGGGCATGTGCTCCCCCAGTACCGATCGAGTCAATTGTCAAGTCTGTGGCAGAAGCAGGTAATAATGGGAATAGTAGAGTAGTAATTGGAGATGACTCTTTGCCAGGCGAGTTCCTCCGGAACTGATGCCAAATGCACAGTACTTCGTTTGCCGTGACTGTGTGGCAAGAGCATTCCCCGATCTCCGCGATAGACACCACACTGACTTTCGTAATATCTCAACAACCGACATTGAGTCCACACTTTATGATCCGTATGCGTCTGAGAGGTTGGAGGTAGTATAGTAGCTTTCATGATCGATTACGCGAGTGAGCTGGTCCCAGGAGCCGCCAAGAACTGCTGACGATGCGGTTCGATCTGAGAACCGTCTCAAGGCTATGGAGCGCGCAAAATCACAGATGTTCGAGATCAAAAGGTTATATAATATTCTACAGTGATTGGTATTCAGTGGGGTGGTTCTGGTTTCAGAGTTACATCGACGTTTTTCAAGGTCAATAGCAGCGGGAATGTCGAAACAGTAATTGATGCATCTCACCGGTTCGGTACCGATTCCTCAGACTCAGGTTCCCACCACGCGTGGGTCATTGGAGTTGTCGGATCTAGCTGTAGATGACGATGATGGTACTTGCAAAATCTGTATGGAGAATCCCGCCACCATCGTAAGTTATATTACATAGCACGAGATCTATGTTACTTCCTCAGATATTGCTCCCTTGTGGGCACGGTGGCCTATGCCAGGGATGTGCCAAGGATTTGGTGCTAGCAGGGAAGACATGCTACATTTGTCGAGAGGAGTTCACCATGTTGTAATAATATTTGGCGGTCAGTCATGGCCATTTGAGGGTGAGACTTCTATTGGCAGGGCCGAGATGAATCAAAAATGGTCGAAATCGGAGGCAGTTATAACAGCTACCTCAGATCACGAGGAGGACCAAAGGAAGGAGGAGGCGGAATATTTGGGTAGTAGAGGAACGCCCGGTTACTGTTGTGAATTGATAATATCTTAGGTCGAATGATCCGACCTGATGCACTCCATCATGTAACTTCTAGTGCGAGAGATGATGGGCAGAGCCTCCTCGTCGCAGCTGGTAATGGGGACACTCTTGATGCCGCAGCGAGCCTCCCACTGTCTGGCAATGCTGACACTGATGATACTTCGGCAACAGAGAGACATGTACGAGATACAATGCAGCCCCAACAGGAGCTCTCAAGTGGAACTCTAGCATCAGTGGATAGGAAAGCTGGAACTGCTGTTATTGCTTTATGATACCGATATTGTGATGGCTGTAAACAATCAGTTCTGTAGATGATTGTGGTTATCCTCCTGTTCAGCAAATTCATTGGCAACAAGCCAACTCTGTTATTACTACCCGCATTTCTTGATGTTGATCTTCCCGTCGTAAACTAAGTACTGTTGCTTCTCAAAAGTCCAAGATTTCAAATTGCGTTAGTACCCAACAACGGAAACTGCTCACGCGAGCTCGAATCTATCGTAGAGCTTGCACAAGTCGGTCTAGGAATCGGAGCCATCCAACTCAGTCTGGTGTTATCTAGACTGTCAGTACCAGTATTTGGATCATTCTATGCATCACTATAAACGAATATAGAATGAGTGTGATGAATCGCCTCGATCGCCGGAAGTGGCGTCGCCACTTCGGCGCACTTAGTGGCGTCGCCACTGTGGCGATCAAGACAGATTGGAGATCGAGAAGAAACGAGGTCCACAAGCACTCCTCTTCGGTATTCGACGGCACTCGAGATGGAGTTATACAAGAATATCTTGGCCACATCTTAATAACGTAACAGATGTCGGATGTGACAATGAAACCGACAATATGAAAGATAAATCCATCACTGATATCTAAATCGTAGTCTATTGATTATACATGTACCCGCGCCAGAGAGGTTTAGCGATCTGAGATCGCTTTATGGGTACCCATAAATCAGGTATCCATCCTTTCCATTCTCAGGATCTATACCAGCGACAGTCTGAACCCACAAGGAGCCAGACTGGCGTTGGCGTCTACCGCGATGGTACTTGCGCCGGCCGAAAGCGGTCTCATCTAACTGAACGTAGTCGTAGGAGTGGTGTTGGCGATCACTGATCGCCGATCAGTAGAGTTGGAGAGGTTGCAAGTTTCACCGGCCAATCCAGCAAATGATGTCACAGTCTTCTTAGAAACGCCACAGTTACGGACAACATTGGCAACGGGATCGCCGAGGACGATGGCGATGAAGGCAGCGAGCATCTTTCGGAACGCAGTGGATGTCTGAGCCCAAATACCGGAGCGACAGGACATGGAAGTCTTCCCACAACGGCGTGAACCACAACGGCGGGAACCACAACGGAAGTACCAGAGATACAAACCGGTTTGAGAGCGTTTGTTGTAAAAGCGTTTGGGCTCCCCGCAAGTAGCACAGGTCGCGGTAGTGTCGAGAAGACCATGACACGCAAGCCACGGAAGGATAGGCTCCTCGGAAGAGTTGGCGAGAAATGCAGTGGGAGAGATGGAGCGGCCGGGAATATTATTAAGACATAAGAAGTTAAAGCAACTAGAGCAGTTGGTGAAGGCTTGGTGGAGGGCCTTGTGCTGTGAACGAGCCGGAGCTGCAGCCAGTAGACCTGAGCGCATTTAGGCAAATGTAACGTTTAGCGAACGTTGGTGATCTCCAGGTTGGAGACTCCTACCCGCCTGAGCACAGTATAAGAAGCGCCTCTCAACCTGGTTTGACCCCGAGAATTGCGTATGCCCTTATTCCATACTCACTTCATACCATACTCCACGGAGAGTCATTCTCACAATGTTGTGAGCAGTCATTGACCGCCGGCTCAAACCGCCGGTTTGAAACCGGTCACTCAGGGGCTGTTGTATGACCCTGATAATCAGCTCCATACAACAGCCCTTGAGTAAATCAGGGCCTGGTTTAGTAGTACTAAATCAGTACTTCAGGACCTTATCATCATGCAATCATCGCATTGCAATGAGCTTTCACAACCGCACAATAGTAAGGTGTGAGGAACGCCGGTAAACTACCGACGGTAGTTATTGGCCGGCAATACCCGGTTGACGGTATTGATATCGTCAATGAAGCATACTCATCTGTTCCAGTAGTGAAAGACTCATTACCATACAGCATATGTCGGCATCGATTTCAAAGTCGACGTTTCCAAGAAGTTGAGATTGTATAACCTAGAGAAGGACCGCTATGTTTGTGAGGGGAGGGAACAGAGGTTCTTCGCGGGAATTTCCTGATTTACGTAGTTTTTATGACGCGAATTATTGTGCTCAACGAGTGGGACTTGCCCTATGTGAGAGACAAGCTCCTCTCACACACCCAAGAATTCATGCCTGGCCTTCATAGCTGAGCTATGACAGCTTCCTCGGGTTTCTCTTCGAGTAACTAAGGAATCGTCTCCCGCACCATAGATGCGTCGATGGTACCGGAGATAGCACCGATAGCAGAGCTCGGATGGTCGTCACTTGCAGGGGCTTACCATAGTTGGCACCACTCCCATTTCTGCCTTAGATTTGGTTGAGAAAAGCATCCGTTTCCTTCTCAGTAGTCTCGTTTTTTATGGAAGAAACGAACCAACCAATTTTCAGCATGTGCTCCCGAGGGGCACGAGGTGCTCCGTGAGCTTCGCGACTCGCGAGGTAAGTCATGCTAACTCGACGTCATCAAGCCGACGAAAAGGAGATGTTAAAGCACCAGTTGGAAGCACATGCAACGCTGACTTAAGGTGGAGTCAGATTCGATCAGGTCGAGGAAAATGCGAGATTAAGAAAATTTAGTAGTTTGAAAATTAACGTTTGGCCGGCGGTGTTTTGCAATTTGAATTTCTGAGTGATCAGGACTCGTTTGGAGGTAGGTGACTCACCGTGAGTCATACACCTTCGGATAGTCCGACAATCATTCTTATACTCGATCGATAACTCACTCAGACCGACGCCTGACGATTTGTTTACCGTGTGGAATGCCCGACATTCCACACAACACTAAGATCGTAGTGTATTTCTACATACTATCGTTGGAATGAGGTAGAAAGCCTCCCATTGCTGAGCATGCTAGTTAGGGTCTGGCTGCATGAGCACTCTAGCGCGGGAGTTTGTACACGAACAGCCTGTATACTAGATTTCGCAGTACTTGATCCCAAGTCTACAGATTTCGACTCCATATGATATGGAGATATGGAGTCCATCTTATGGACCATATGTGAACGTAGTTATCTTCGAAAAATAGCTTGGCAGATTTTAGTGAGGCAAGGTTATCTGGCTACTAGACAGCCACAGACCTACCTCAACTGATCTTTAACTCAAACCTCAGCTGATCATAGAAAGCACGCATCTTACATGAACGCATTTCCACTATCGAGACACTATATAACGCCACCGACGCCTGTAGAACCTGAATACGCTGAGTTTGCTCAACAGAATAATGCCGACCCTGATCCATCTATAGCATTAACAGCGACCAGGGCATTCTCCTACTGTGATGATCGCTAGGTTCCGAACGCATGACTTGATCAATGTAGTCTGTCATTGCTTTTATTCTATCATCCGATAACCTGTTCAGCTCTCTATCCAGTCAATCGACCATCGGAGTGCTCACCGAATTCTCTCCTGCTCGCCTGTTTGTTCGGCCTTCATCAACTGGAGCTCTGCGAGATGCTCGAAGTGCTTCTGTCGTTCTTCAACAAGTTTCTGACAGACGACACCGTAACAAAGCGAGGTTGCCGCATGTATGAGCCCACCTCAGACATGATATGCTTCGCCGCGTCATAGACTTGGCCTAGAGCCTCTTCCTGGCGTGAAATGTACGCGTCATATCCGTCAACCTATAGAATGTCCACGACCCAAGGACCACTATGAGCACTCACTTCGAATCCATCTACCGCTGAGGGATCCTCCGCTGACTGAGCATCAGAGACGTCCGGGATGGGATCGCTGAGACAAGTGGTATACAATAAATTGTGACACGGTTACCATGTAGCCGTGTCACAAGGGCTACCAGCCCTCGGAAGAGTCTCATTATTTAGACTCCCAGAGTCCCACGTCAGTCACACTATTCGTAGGATGCTACAACTCATCTTACACCTCTTCAGTGGTACGTTCAAGCTCTTCCTGCTCAGCAACAGCACGTTGGTACTCCTTTCTGGGGACCTGATTGGAACAAGATTATCTCACCAGATGCGTTCGCTAGATGAAAGATTTTTTCCAGTGGACACTCGAGTTCCTAATGAAATGAGGGGAAAGACAGTATGCTACGCCCACAGATACTGAGCAGCTTGGCTCCTGTCAATTTCGTGCCCGAATTTGAATTTAACCACGTATCGTTGAGTCAGAATTAGCGATTGAAGAGCAGACAGAAAATTCTGATACAAGTAAGGCAAGAACATCGTGACTGGAATCCGCACAAATGTCTTACTAGCCATGATGTGCCAAGCATCGTGATCCGCTCTAACGCGGCATCTGATTTCGCAAAGAACAGTTCCAATGTTGGCACCTAACGCGGAATGAACATCGACTGAAATAGGATAGCGTCGGCTCCCTCACTGGAGTTGAGAGGGTGTTGACAGTCGGTCTGTGCAATAGTCTCGAATCAGTAAATAGGACATCACCGATGCTCATAGAAACGTTTACTAAGCGCCTGAAGACAATCGTTCGATGCTATAACCAGCTCTATGGACTCGCTAGTGGGGAGTAGCTTGGCTGAGCTATGAAATTGCGTGCTGACCAACACTCGGGGTATAATGTCGCAGCACAGTGCCGGAGACCACCTGCCACTTGTCGGATTCTCCGAAGCATGCCAAACATGAAATTGGCCAGCAATGTTATCTCGATGGCTTTGAGCCATGAACTCAACTTCGCCACCCTTCCAGCCCAGCAAAGGGATCGTCACGATGACACCGCTGACTCGATTTCTTCTGCGCTCTCGGGTTCTGACAGAGATGATCTTCGTCTAGATAGAGTAGAATGGCAGATTTTTTCCACTTGTCATCCGAATTGGTGAACCCTTTCTCCCGGCGGAACCAGTGCTGCCGCGGGCTATCAACAATTGTATCGAACCCGTCAAGCCACTCTGCTGCCCATTCCCGCCAAGGCTGAACAGAACCAGAGCCCATCTCCCCCGTGAGTGATAAGGAACACAGTCGACACTTGCTCTAGAGAGGGAGCTCAACCCCAATCTGATGACCCGTGCAGTGACCAACCTCGCACATCTCCTTTGGAAAACTAATCTTCCCTACGATCGGACCCATGACGAAAGATCCACCGAACAGTTTGTCCACAAGGCGATACAGAAGTTCTGAAAATCACTTATCCAACACTCTTCGTAGCTATCAACAAGTACGGCAGGGTTCGAGTTTTCATTCAATAACAATCAGACTCGAGCGGATCACTTTGCTTGAGCTTTGCTCGAAATCCATTCGTGTTGAGCTTCGGCGGAACGATTTCTACACGACCTCGATGGCGAAAGCCTATCTGTACATGGGGAGCAGCATTTATCATCATGCACGGCTGGTCAGATTTCAAGATGAACTCCGCAATGAATTTGTCATGATTTTACGACTAGGCGCAACTGCCACCCCTTCTCACAGGGTAATTCGGACCGGGTTCCCCGGAGAGCTAAGCGTGTTGTAGAGTTGCAAGGGCTCACTTACGTCATAGAAATGGCCCAAAACTTCATCATCGGTTTTGTTTCGCTTCGCAGCCGTATAGTAATAATACATATAGCGCTCCAATGCACGGTTAGAGAATTCCTGAAAAGGAGCTCTTAGACATGGAGTCTTACCCGGGAACAGCTCGGAAAAGTCACTTCTATTTTCTCAATGGCGTGTTCAGCCTCATCCAGACTCAGTCCGGCTGAGGCTCCCTTCAATACGACCAATCCTTCCTCCTTGAAAGTTGCTGCAGCTGACTCGACCACTTCCTGATGTGAAGAACACATTGAACAAGCAGAATATTGCCAGAATTTTGACATAATCATTCTTGGAACATAGCTGAATCGGTTAAGCCAATTTTATCACAGCTCTGCACTAAACGTAACACAAAAGTAAGTTAGCTCATCGCTCACTGGTATTGAAAGAAACTTCCATCATGAGAGCTTCTCAAGAAAGATCCATGTCGCCGAGGTATTGTGTTTCGATAGTGGCCGACATAGGGTAAATGCCAAGTGTTGGTGACAGTCACACCCCGTATCTCGCTCCCATACGGAAACGAGGCGGAGAGAACCATCCATCCACCAGAGGGCTTATCTAATATTGTGCGAGCAGCTCGCACAACACGGGATCGCGACCTGTCATCCGTATTTGTGAATTACTGAAAAGCCGTGCCCTCAGCTGCAAGACTTTACGTTTGGTCGAGCGCACCCCCTCGCATAGCAACGACAGAGCCCGTTCCATTGGATAGATAACCAACGATTTAGTGGATCAGCCGAAGTAGATTGCGCATGTCATCAGACGCAGCGAATTCGTGTACAAGACCGCGACGTGGTTTAGTAGATAGTGCCAGGAGGTCCCAGGCTGTTATCGTCCGATTTGACAACGTAATACGCAGTGTTGCACTGAGGAATGCTCCCGAAGCCCCTGGACAGCTTGGCATCTTCTATTGTACACGACAGAACTCCTACCATTGTCACAGAATCGAGGATCATGACACAGTTCTGTCAAATGAACCTTGGGAAGGGGGATGGTCACGTTTCCATGAGTCGCTGAAGTAGTCAGCCTCCTTCTCTATGCAATCGACTGCTCATCAACAGTGAATACTTGATTCATAAAAGCGCTGTGTCAGAATATATCAGCGAAAGATAGATGTGGAGAGGGAGCTAGAAGGACAGCATAGATCGCTGATAACAGGATCGGACCTCATGCTGAGGAAAGCTTCCACAGAGAGCCATACAAAGCATGGTCCCCTGGTCAGATCGGCTTCTAGATGCCCTGGATTCCATAGCAAGGGATTATATATACGAAAAAGGCATCAAATGCTATTAGTGTAATGCTGATGAAGTCAGTGAGTTTGTAGGTCCGTTATGAACTGTCCATCCCTAGTCCAGGATGGCGTTGTGGCATGATGCCAAGATGGACCCGAAATCATATGCGACACAGGCTCGAACATATCTCCATTCGAGATTGTCAAAGTCGTGACGCAGATAAATGGTTAATCATGAATCATTCAGGAACCTATATCATGATAGGATTTTAGACGGAGATTTATTCGATATGGTAATCCCGGATCGATATCCCTACGGACCCAAATCGAGGATATGTGATTGTCAACTCACCTTCTCCTCTAGCGCTTGTTGACTCGCACTCGGTTGTTCATGAAGCTTTTGTAGATCTTCATACGTGGCAACTCCTCGAGATATGCTACGTCCGTCATCGAACAGAGGCTCCGAACCTGAGAGAGAAGAGGGATCACACCACAAATGTCCGCACGCCTGCTCCCTACCGAACAGCTCCGAGAAAAACTTCTTCATACGATTCGCCGATTTGGTGAAATATATAGTAAGATGCTGTCTTGGCCGCGAGCCCCGATTTTCTCGCATGCGATATCTAGTTCCAGATCCTAAAGACCGAGGCGCAACCATCATTCGCTGCTCATCCAATCGTATTCAACTACCCAAGACTAGGATTCCCCCAACGCCTATGTGCGGAAGCAGACTCTCTCCGTCCTCGGAAAATATCTCGATTCCATCATCCACATCGTCAAGTGGGAATATTAATACCTAAAGCGCGCACAAGAAGCAATCACGCAGCCTTCAGAGACTCCGAACCGGAATCCTCAAGAGCGTATAACAGTTTAGCTATGGACAACCCATGCCTCATCATGGACGAATGCTTTCCCCCTCTGGGAGGAATTCCTGGAATGCCTAGGAAGAAGGAGAATCCCGCTTCCCCGAAATTCAAGGAATAATCAATGTTCCCAGGACGACCGATCAATTCTACCAACTTTTGGTCCACCTCGGTTCAGGCCTGGGGGCCTCAACCTCCGATACATGATTCGAATCCAATATGGAACTCGAAGCGTTAGGTAAGGGCGCGGCTCACATTATAACCTACCAGCATAGCACGACGAACCGATTCCCACTCCCTGTCATCATGCAGCCCTCCACTAATCCATGCTTCTGTAAGATTCCACTCGTTCGTCTGAGGATGGTATCACCGTATCCAACGAGCGTTGTATGCTCACCAAAGCCTTGGGCATGACCATCGTGGCCGTAACCAGACTCTTGGTCGCTTTAGAGCGATTGAAGTGACGATTAAAATATCTAAAACCGACCCTAGCTATTCAGCCTAAAACCCATGATAAACTCACGCATCAGCAACGCTATGCCACAAGGAAGATGTTTTATGGAGATAGCTGTACCTGAGGTGTTGTCAACCTCAGGCAACATAACAGAAACCTACTTCCTCTCGTTCAAAACCGGGGAAATCATCTCCACAGAAAACGGTCGACGGAGGGCAAACTCGCTGAATCTCTTCACGGAGCTCTCATTTGATCTGATCGTGACGAGGACACTACCGAGCAGTATTGACGACTACCCAGTCCGGCGAATTTCGCTTGCCGTGTCCGAACTACTCGGGAGAGCCATCACATAGAAGAAAATTACATCAATTTGCTATTTTCTCCACGCTTCTCAAAACTTTTCCTCACGGGAGCTCATAGCTCGAGATCACTATTAAAGAACATTTCGTCTCTCACCTAGTCAATGTGGAAAAATATGCACATGACTAGCTACATGTGTCGGTGACAACCTGGAAACTCTAATAAATTATCATTGGTTTCCGTACACTTATATCTTAATTTGTATGCAAACTTCCATAGTTAGCGAGAAAACTCTCGGGCTCAGCCGAGGAAAGCAAGCGTGGTTCTCAACACTACACCTACTTAATATGATCATCGAACTTTCCTATCGCACGATTGGCGAAATCAGCGGTCACAGCGGAAATGTCGAGTATTCTCTTCGGCGTTAACGTCTCCGTTATAGATCCCTGACGGGAACGTGAACACCGTGAAAGAGTTGTTATTCACTTGAGAGCTGCTTTTTATAATAGCCAAGCCGCTCTCCTCAATGTTGTCCACAATACTGCCGATTCTCGCGTTCCAAGCCGCAACTTCTTCAGCTCGAGCGCGACGTTCTTTCGCTAGCTTCCTCTCGACGTTCTTACTAACCTAAATCCGATCATCTATTGAATCTTATCACATCGATAGCCCCCCCCTCACCTCAGCCTCGAGCTCAGCATTGTAATCTTCTATCCTCTTCGTTGTATCTTCTGCGTGAACCTGAATACAAGGTCAAACAGGCCACAACGGCAGGGCAGCAAGGATACTTTCGGAGAGCTGCAAGTAGCTGAGTCCATACCAGTACCGCACGGTTGGAGTTCTTCCGAAGCTGCTAGGGTAAGGCTCCACAAGAAATGACAGAATAGTCGTAAAGTTATCATTTGAAGGCTGATAATATCCACCTTCGATCAGGAAGTGACATACATTGAGCCCGGGGGGCCAACAGGTTTTCCCCCAAGCCCATCGCACCCGAAACAGATTGATACGACTGAGTTAGATGCCCAAGTCATATAACGACGTAACTCAGCTATAGTGGTCGCTTACACACATGAATTATTGCTTTTGAATACAGCACTGTGTTGACCGTGTTGTGAGAGGTAACAACTATCTGAGCAGCATCTACTGGATGATTACTTCTACGACTGCATCCCTTAGTATTGACAAGAAGTTAACACAACACGGGTGCCCTCAAGACGGAAACATATCACTCATCCAAGCTCATCAATCGCCTGCGCTTCCGCAACCATGGAATCAGCAAATTTGAGTTCCATTCGTGTGAGGGCATTATGAGCAAGACAAACCGATCGGCAGAGGACTCCAACAGAGAGCCAACCCAAGAGCGTCGCCCCTGAACACACATCGTGATCAACTGTAGTGATGTCAAGTCGACCCACCACCGATCAGCTTAGGCAATAGTGGTCTTTTCCGCGCCCCATAAGCTAGGCTAGCTGCAGCGAAGTTACTCAGAAGTAGAGCGTTACCCGGAGAAGTTCCTACGAGGGAAATGAATTGATGAGCACCAAGGCGAGGGTCACTTGGTCCCTTCGCAGGCGTCTGCTCGGCAGAAGCTCTGCCTGGGGTTCCGACATTCTCAGTGAGGAAGTCCATCGCGTCGGCTTGGACCTGTCCATGACGCAGTTGTCACCATCGGGTGAATGATCGAATATGATTTTACGAAAACAACAGATTTATGGCCCTCCTTCCATTCAAGTTCATCAAGCTCATATCTCAACCGGTTGAGATCAGCCTCGTCATTTCGTCGCCAGAGGACATCTTGAGCGAAATTACGATATGCCTGGCGCACTTCCGGCGGCTGTAACAGAAACATGCCCACCTGATGTTACTCAGAATAGATTGGCCTACTTCTTGAGTAAGCCGTCTATGACTGTAAACGTAGTCCTCTAGATGCCATCGTGTGTCCTTCTGTTCCTGCTCGGACTGAATGCAGAATTTAGGATGTTCTGAAAGAGTTTCTCATTCAACAATTAATGACCGTTACCATCATCAGGCGTCTTGTAAAGGCCAGTCTTCCTAAAGACGTCGAACCATCGCCACGTAGGCAGCAGTGGTGACGGGCAGTAGCCGCATTCACCACTCAAAGCCGCTACTAAACGAGCGGTCTAAGTCGATAATGATGATGTGGCCCAGCAAGGAAGTGTCGTCTCACTCGATGTTCAGGAAGGTCCTCCCCGACTAGTCTACGGAATCCTCTACAGCAGCTACTATAGAAGAAGCGATCGATTTGTCCAGGGATGGTGAGCCCCTCTCGAGACCTGACTCTAGTGTATACAACAACAAGCTGGTAGTGTCGTTACCGGTAAAAATGCGAAAAGACTTTGAAAGTGGTGTCCAGTCTTGGCTGTTCTTCTCTTAAAATGCAGTAGTCCCATTGTTCGGGTGTTCGAGCCGCATAAATCGAAGTGTTTTGTGGTAGGGAATGGACGAACTCGCGCAGCTGAGGTGATGGACTTTCGAAATTTCTCGAGAAGTTCTTGGATGATTACGTCATCTAGCTTTTGTGGTTTACCGGCGATCGAAAGAGGAACCACAGTGACGTTGTATGATACCCTCTTGCCGTGTACTTTGGCTAGCTCAGCTTCGGTCATTGACTACCACAACTATGATGGGATTTTACAACCGAATTGATCACGACTGGCACACGCTCAGTTGGACACAGCGAGTCCTAGTAAGAATGTTGGAGACAGCACAGCCCCAGAATGCGACTACTTTTGATAATAATTTCATGGCGCGCGCTTTTTTCAACTAGCGCGATCGATTCCTATTAGAAGGGTCGGTCAGCTTGGACTGCTTACGCTACAGTCTCCGAAGTGCTTGTTGTCGGAAGATGTCTCAATACTGTTATCATCCGTTGCTTCAGCGTGTGCTGTTTTCTCCGTGTTCTTGCTACTATGTCCTCTGAAGACGAGCCAACTTTCGAGCAAGCCGACGCCGGTGCCTCCCATACCGCCCCTCAACAGGCCGGTACCCTCCGTAAGGGCGGCTTCGTCATGCTCAAGGGTGAGTCTAAACCCTCGTCCCCTCGTAGTGTTGTGACTATTCTCATCAGGTAAGCCCTGCAAGATTGTGGACATTTCCACATCCAAGACCGGGAAGCACGGACACGCCAAGGCTAACATCACGGGTCTTGACATCTTCACTGGTAGGAAGTACGAAGATATCTGCCCTACTTCCCATAATATGGAGGTAATCGTCGACTCTAGCAATATGATGATGTTGATTGTGAGTTGGTCAGGTCCCTAACGTCGTTCGCGCTGAGTATCAGTTGTTGAACGTCGAGGAGTCCGGTGCTGTGTCTCTTCTTACTGATGATGGTACCACTAAGGACGATCTCGACCTTCCTACGAGCGAGAATGTTGTTGACGAAGTTGGTCAGCAGATTCAGGATGACTTCAACGAGGGCAAGACCGTTATTGTCACCGTCATCGAGGCCTGTGGTCAAGAAAAGATCATCTCGGCTAAGACCGTCGAGTAACTCGAACTAAGATTAATGGTGTTTGTGTAATGGTTAAAAGCTGCTTCTGCTAGAGCAGTCGTATTGGCATACCCATGGTATTCTGTCAGCGCCTCTATTCAACCTTGTTGTTACTTATTCTACTCTTCACTCTTACTTGTACAGTGGATTATTATCATTGTAAGGGGGGTGAATCCATCGCCGCCATATTTGGAGGCAGTGGAGTTATCCAGTATTGATGGCCATCATTGCATAACAGTGAAGAGCAGTAATTGTTGGTGCATTTACAACGGAGCACTTATCGGTATCGTCTCTCATAACCTTTCTAACCGCACGATTCAGCACAAGTCAGACATGACCTTAGTTTGTAAATTTAAGGGGACATACTTCGTCATCGATACAGTCATGGAAGGGGGATCAGCTTACACATCGATCATTGAACTGTATATTGTATTAACGAAGAGCATGTCGAAGTAGTGCAGAAAGGAATGCTTATATAAAATTTTATTTTGTATTTCATTTAACCGGCAGGGTTAATTGCCGAGCTACAGTACCACAGCTATCCTCTTTGTGTTACAGTTAGACCTATCCTCTTTGTGTCGTTGTACTGTGTGGAGTGTGAAAATATCAAACTCTTCAATACAGTGCAGTTTGTTGCAACGTATAAAAAAGAGAATGTGAAATCTTGGAGTGCATAAGGAAAATCACCAATCACCATTTCCAGTGTTAATTTGGAAACTATTAGGGAAAATTGTCAATAACTACGAATTAGTCTCCCACTTCTACCAGCACTAACTCGACAAAAGGAGGCGTATTATTGAGTAACAGGACCATGATCAAATGAATCTTCTATCCATCAGCAAACTCTTCACATAATACCTGACACACCGATTAGATAGAATATAACACATCCAATACTACACTTGGAACCAGGCAGCCACAGCCAAAACCACGAAGTCCAAAAGGAAGAACCAGAGAACGCGCTGAAGGACAATCCGCTTTCTATCTTGTTGTAAGTTATTACACTATGGGTCGACTGCACTCTCTCGAAATGGTTCTTCTGCCGAATCCACAAGTACGTACTTTCAGCTTGGGTATCTCGCAGTATCGTATCGAGAACCTACAAAGTCTTCCCTAAAGACGACGCCTTAAACGCTACATCACCTCAACCTGTTCCTGCAGATCAGTAATGTGTTCCGTTTTCAACGTTTTAGAGCCTCCAACCATCACACCAAGTGTTACCTACCCTGGAGATGGTACATTGGTGGTAGGACAACAACACCACAACACCTGGTGCCTCTCCCTCCAATCCATGTTCGTTATAAGTAGACGGTATCTGATTATCACGACGACTCAATGTGTTAAAGAGCGAATCGACATCGAAAAGGATACACAACTTAGAGATAGTAAAATTCGAATAGAGGAATAGGCTTGATATACCTAATATACCGTCCCCTCCACAACGTTCACTTCCTCATCCAACAGTGAGCTTTCAGTCCCAACAATTTCGATTCCTCCTATCTCATATATCCTCCAAGGCATTCTACGCCTGCTATTATAGTATAATAAACAAGTTTGACGCAGTCGTCACCACGTAGCGAAACTGTTTCACGCGGTGTTGGGAGAATGTAATAGCAACCGCCCGACGGACTCTCCTGGTAGTTTGGTTTTCTCAAAAAACAGACACTCCGAAGTATCCTTCTTCTCGTAGAATACATTCCCTTCAGGATCGCGAATCTGAGGTCGACAGTAGCAGATATAAAACGTGTCCGCGTCCTCACCTCGAAATCGACCTCGTCCGGTTTACCCCACATTGAGTTCGATGTCAACACACCTGAAAGAATCGCAACTGAGGGAGAAAAACAACAGAAAAACAGAGAAAAACTCATCTCGATGTTGACCATCGAAAGTCCACTGGGCATTCCTTTCCTCAGCTAAGCTCAGCAGTTTCCTCACTAAATGTATTCGAGTATAAGTGCTCAGTAACAACTAAAATTTCCAAAAATTCCGCCAATATTTTCATATTGTCATTGACACATTTAGTTAACCATGTGCATATTTTCCAACACTGTCCCTGAGAGGCGCATGAGAGCTTCAGCTGCCTCATAAATGTATTCGGCCGCTCTCGCAGTTTCACAATCTCCCAAATCAACAGCAGTCACAGGGCGAATATTCTCGATACGGAGATTGCGAAGAAAATACTTCCCCTCTGGTGAAGTAGTTGACGGTCATCGAGCAACTGATCATCATCCTACATAGTCGGGTATATTATTCTAATGGTTTGATATTAATACAGTCCATAAACCAGGTCTATGATGGAATCGAGGAAGAATACAAATTATTACCTCTGAATAGCTGTCCGGCCACTTCCACATCCTGAGTGAACTCCTGAACAGCGCTGCCTTCCAACGTGAATGTCATCATCATGTTAGGATGGAAATCTAACACGAAGGCGAGACAGAGACTCAAGATGAGAAGTCCCCATACCGACCCCCTAAATGCTCATCCCAGTTGTGATAGAAATGATCATCGCTCAGCTCAGAAGCTTGCCGATCAGAGAACCTGAACGACATAAGGAACGGCGACTCAAGGACGGTGCGGCAGCTATTCGCCTTCCTTCGTATCGGCATGATCATAAGCGATTCACTGTTTGCATATAGTATGATTATTAAAACCATTCCAATGGTTACAACCAAAAGTTTTAGGAAGAAATTTGGTATGATAGAAGAGCATCACTACCGTGAGAACCTCTTTAGAATTGGAGAGGACGAAATCATATCCGAGCTAATCATCGTAACTCATAACACACCAATGTTATCTCATCCGATTCGGGGCGTTAACCAACCACAAATTCGCAATGAACTCGGTACTCGCAAGATAAGGGGAGTCAGAGCAGTTAACGATACCACTTACTCAACTGATTCCACCGTCCTCGTTGTATCAATCGCCTCACTCCTCCTCTGAAGAAACGACG